ACGAGTAAGATTAGTTTCATCGCATATGATAAAGTCTTTTCACCACAATACGATCAAATGCGGGTCTCTGTTCTTTAGTTGACTCAGATATTTTTCACCCTCAGCTTCAATTTGATTGAGTTGGAGGTCGAGTTGAGTAAGTGTCTATGACAAACAAGAATTATTAACATGAAATAGTTGAAGAAGCTCTTTCTTTCACCTTGTTCTGCCATAATGCGTCACTCAGATATTGTACACCTCGATCTCCGATTTGATTATTGACGAGGTCAAGTGTAGTGAGTACCTGTGACCGGTAAAAAAAGAGTAGCGTAAAATCTTTACAGGCTATTTCTTTCACCTTGTTCTGTAGTAATGCGTCACTCAGATATTGTGTCCCTTTGTCTCCAATCTGATTTTTCGTAAGATTGAGAATAGTGAGTGTCTGTATCAAAAATAAGAATGATCAGAATGAAATAGATAAAAAGATTCTTTTTTTTACCCTATTCTGTCGTAATGCATCACCTAGATGTTGTGCTCCTTGACCTCCGATATGGTTGTTCTCTAGTTCGAGTGTGGTAAGTCCCTATAGTAAATAAAAGAAACTAACATAAGATATTTAAAGATTATTGTGCTCACTTTGTTCTGTCTTAAAGCCTCACTTAGATATTGTATGCCTTTATCTTTGATAGAATTGCCACTAAGATTGAGTGTATTGAGTGTCTACGTACAATAAGAAAGAACACTAAGAGAGAGATGTGGAGACTTCTTCACTGTATTCTGTCGTAATGCTTCGCTTAGATGTCGGACTCCTTCACATGTGATTTCATTGTATCCTAATTTTATTGTAGTAAGTGTCTATACCAAATCAGAAACACTAGGTAAGACAGATAAATAGTATTTTTCGCACTTTGTTATATTTTAGTGAATCACTCAAATATTTTACTCCTTCATCTTCAATGTAATTACTCCGTAGTACAAGTGTAGTGAGTGTCTGTGCCAAAGAAAAAGAAGACCAATATGCGATAGATAAACGCAGCATTTCTCTCACTGCATTCTCGCGTAGTGCCTCACTAAGATACTGTGCCCCGTTGCTTCCTATTTGATTGAGAAACAAGTTAAGTGAAGTGAGTATCTATGTGAAATACGAAACAGTCAATAATAAATAGATAAATAGATATTTTTCTCACCTTATTTTGTCGTAATGCATTACTCAGATGCTGTGCTCCCGTAGATTGAATTCGATTAGATTCGAGATTGAGTGAAGTGAGTTTCTATAGTAAATAAAGAATGTCAGTATCAGACAAACAACGATACCAAGATTTTCACTATTGTGTTTCATAAAGCATCGCTTCAAAAGTATGACTTTTCAGCTTCTATCACTGGTTAATATTTTTATTCTCTACGTCTATTCAGAATCTATGACCAAAGAACGTAGAGTTAATATCATGGAAAGTAATGAATGTACTAATTTGATAGGAAAAATGACGAAAGAAGTACCAGCACGATTTGAGTACTTGTCAATATGTCTTCATTCAACATATGGATTTTATCTAGAAACTATTGTGGTAAAATTGACGAAGATTATACTTTAACTTCATCAATATCACACTCAAGTAGGAGTGTACAGCTAAAGCTCATTAGAGCTCATATGAGTGTGAGTGGTTTCCCTGTTTCGAATAGAAGAGATCTTTTGAATTTGAATTGTTCACAAGAGACCATCGGCGGACTCTAGGGATTCCGAATCCCATGGGAGTCCGATGGAAATCGCAGGAATACTTGATATAGATGTCTGAACAACACTGAAATTATAAGGCATACATAACAAGTCGCACTTCATTCATTTAATATTTTGAAACCCATCTCTTTAAGAGAACAATGTAGACGTATGGAAAATAAGAGTGTGAGTGTGAATCTTTGGTGAAGATGAAAAGAAGATGCAGATCCACACCTTCATTGATATCGCTAACTGAACATTTTGGGCTACAGAAGCGACTGCTGTCTAACGAAATAATGTGAGCTAAATCGTGACATCTAGTACGATTATTTACACAGTTCAAATATGGGAGATATCTCAAACGCTTTGCACAATGGCGTTCATATTGATTCATAGACGGGTGAATCAGACTACACTTTTTTAAGTCAACATAAAATATATAGTTGCCATTAAACCAAGGTACTAACTCCGAAGACCAACTTGCGAACTTTTCATTTTAACCTATACTAAGTAAGTCGTAGTTCCACGGTCAACAGTTTTATTCCTACACTGATCAATAATGATCTTCACGTTAACACCAATACAAAAAGAAAACATAAATAAATAATCTATCGACTTCTTACCAAATGATAGGAATAATATACTAACCGATTAGCTCATATTACTTCATTATACGGTTTATTTAATAGAATAGACATGATTCATGGGAAAACGTAATAGATTAGTTCTAATCGATATTACTTTGGTTTTTGCTGCCCTTTCATTGACAAAGGAAAATGAAACAGAAGAGGTTTTTTTGTGTCACTAGTATTGATACATATCTTATGAGAAAATTTGTCTAGACTTTGTTTTAATTGGACTAATTTTTTGCGTCGGAAGAATAAATATCACTCGACCTTCACAACTCAAGTGAGGCTTAGAGGTATCAATTGAATTTTCGAGAAAAAGGCAGACAGCTAGAAAACAAAAAGAATAGAAGTACGGAACTCAATGAGGGTCTCGAGTATTCGAGCAAAGTTCAGATAATCCAGTACATGCGAAATCTGTTTTGTTTCTCATTCAAATCCAGTGGGTTAAATTTTTTATTAAAGTTTCCAAAGTGTCACAAAGGACGAGCAAAAGATTGCTTCGAAACAATCAGCATCAAAATCATCTCATGATCTTCTCCTTTATGATAATTTTAAAGAAAAGCATTTGTCAAGTTTATAATCTAGTATCTAATCTTCTTTCCAGATTTGATGTAAATTTTGCTTGGCAGAAAGTAACAGAATCTACGATAAAACAAAGTAGATCATTTGTACAAGTCTAGCGTGAAAAAAACGTATTGTCTGGTCTGACGAAAATCATTACAAATCAACGGATCAAGAGTCAAGCTAGTGCTTCAAATCTAATGGTACTTTTTTCATCCAAATCAGAGAAATATGGCTGATCCTAAGACAAAAGTCATAATTCATTTTCTTTGTCATCTAGTGATAAATCTCAATTTCATGCAATAAGAGTCTCCAAATCAAAGTCTCCTTTACTCTCAAACTCTTTTTCTCTTTTGTCAAGATTGATGCCACAAGCAACATTGTCATAGGTAAAGAGCCTCTTGTCTTTTAGTGAACAGGAAGGCTGTGCTGCTACCTGATTGATTTGAGCATATTCAACGGTCAGATTATTGAATGAATAAAAGGTTACACATAAGATGATATAGATTCATTTGATTCGACATATCTCTTGTATTACTCATTCATTTGATCAGCGGCGGTGACGAGGAGCTCTCGCCAAGGAAGTCGTTTTCGACGGCGGTGGTGACGACAAAATTTTTCCTATGTTATTTCACAGCGTGTTTCATAGGTTCCTACTGTTAAGACAACCATTAGACGTTCTGTTTTCACAGAATTATAACGCTGTTCTCCTCTTAGCACGCTCATGTCTTTGTTTGCAAATATTTTTTCTACTAGATGTAACTTTATTTTCATTAATTCAAAAAATTGCCACTGTCCCCTCATAAAATAACTTCAAACCACACAACAATAACTCATGATATAAGCCAAAATGGCAATAATGTGACTATCCATCTAAAATACAAATTAAATTCAAACATGATGGCTTAGTATTGGAACTTTACTTTACCAAAAAAGTAAAGCAAAGTGAAAAAAATGAAGTTGTATTTTTTAAAGTTTTTGGGAATTTCTTAGTTCAAGATCATATATAAATAATCTTAGAACGTATCAAAGTTTATTCAATATCGCTTCGTCTTAAAATTAGTGTGAAAAAGAAAGTAAAGCCGAAAAATGTCGAGTTTTTATGAATACATGAAAAATATTGTTTGGTTAACTTTATCTTACTTTATTTTCCAGATTCAAACTATAGAGTTTTACTTTAGTCTACTTTACTTTTTCAAAGTGAAATTAAGATAATGTGTCACCCCTATGGTAGCTCGAATTGGATTATAAGTGAAGCTAACATTGAAATTAGAATTTGAATCCAAATTCAAATCGATACTTTTCTGTAAGTTGAGAAAAAGAGCAAGATTTGTTTTTGTTGATTATTCGAATTCAAATTCCAACTAAATATTTTTCCTTTTTCTAAACTGGCAGGAAAGTGTCGATTGAAATTGGAATTCGAATCGTAATGTTAGTTCCATTTATATTCGAACTCAAACTAGACAGTTAGTCGAAACTGCATACTGAATAAGTGAAAAATAAAAAAACGGAGAAAATAATGACGATGAATCTTTTGTGCATGAAAGAAGAAGGCAAATGAAAATCTAATAAATTTGGTAGCGCCACAAAATCAAAAAGAGACATATTTACTTATCAGCTCGGTTTTCAGACCATATGTCAGCCAAGAAAAATACATCAATTTCTATTTTTTAAAAGTTCTCTTGGTTTCAGCAATCTCTAATTGTCACATGGATCAAACTTGAGATGTTACTGATTATTATCAACAAGTGATATTTTAGAAAAAGAGGAAGCGTGAACTGTGACCTTTCATTCGATCGGCGGCTAAAACCTCTATGTATGACTACCACAATCACGCCCGCATCTGGACACTCACATCAATACCTACAGCTACACATCCACACCTAAATCTCATCGACACTATTGTGTGAGTGCTCATAGATTGAGAGAACATGGCTAATATTGTTGTAGGAATTACTAAATGTTAGCAGGAAATACAAAAATCTCATACGAAAAAGATGAAACCGATTTCACAAATAAAAAAATTAAAATCCACTTTGTTTCACTTAACAAGGAAAGTAGTGGATTAGATATAGGCCAGCTTCAAATTACACAAGAGGAAATAATGAAATTTCATCCTATCTTGCAATAGAGAAAATTAAAACAATAGCATTTACCGTATTGGTTCTCAATGCACAATAAGCCACAATTTCCATATCTTCATCTGTCAAATTCATCGACTTCAAGTTTAACATGGTAACATTTTTATTGTCAGCAAGTTTTTTCTCGAGGTCGAGATTTCGGCACTGAGGTTGTGATAGTTTCACAGTTGTTGGTTGTGGTGTTGGAAGTATTTCTGTAGGTTTTGGTTGTACAGAAGTAATGACAGGTTTACTTGCTAAACTGATTGACGGCGGTTTTTCAAATGGTCGACTGGTTTCTGGAGATGCTGTTTTTGTTTGTGGAACAGCCGGCTCTAAATATGAAGCAACAGTTACGATGAATTTTCAATGAAAGTAGCCAATATCTCATTTTCACTTTTCACATTTATTGAATTCAGTGATCTGGTCTAAAACAATCAACTTTGCAATGAAAAAAGCTTGTTAGCGCAGCCCCCCTTTGGGACTGAAATGTGGAACTCGCATATATTCTTCAGCTTCATTATACTAATATGAAATATAGATAGTATAAAATCACGAATTTTTTAATTTTCTGACAGCCTTCCTTATTTTTCGTTTTCTTTGTTGCTATTTGCTCAGTATTTTTCATTCTTAACACTTCTTTTTTCTTTAATTTTACATTTTTATTATAAGAAGCATTGAATTATATGGCGAATGAAACTGTTATACATATATATGTACATTTATTATTTTAAACTTGGTCGCTAAGGTCTGTAATGGGAGGTGTGTCTGTAATGGGGGCCTGTCTGTAAGGGGAGGGGGAAGCCGCGAAAACTTGACCTTAAAACTAACACTCACTATTTTCTTCGAAAATATACATGAGTTTCACAAAATGCTGTGAGGAGATGCTCTTAAATTGTTTTTGTTCATTTATTTCATAAATAGGTCACCTTTCATGTAGACTGTAAAATAAACTTTTGAATCGATTCTTTTTATCAAAATAATACAAGTTACTGTAAACGTTTTTTCTATTGTAACAATGTCTATTTATCATTTAAGAATTAATTTTATTCTACTATCATAAGTAATATATGAAATGATCTGAAGTTTTCTATGTGGCATCAAATAAAAACAAGTGATAACTACATTCTCCTTCGAACAATAATTGTCTACAAATCGACAAATATTGTTCGCCATATTATATGTTCAAGAAAGCAGATATCAGTGCTTCCACTTTATGTATGATAAACTTGATCTAATCTTTATTCTTGTTCCTTATCAGTTTTTGTAAATAACTTACTGCAAGTGCTCTCTGTGTTTATGTTCATAGTAATGTTTACTTCTCCGATGAGATATACACTTGTAACTGGTTGCTTTTTAAATTCTATGTGGATCATTTATTAATTGATTTATCCATGTTAAACATCAAACTGTTTAAAGAAAAAAATCATAAGACGTTCTACATCTGTATCCATAGTAAAATTAACTATGGAAGATATTACTTTTCAAATTTTATGTTTTTCTCTCTGTGATTTTTCTAAGATCTCTTCAAATTTCATCTAAGAATGATATCTCATCTTTCTATCATACAGTACATAATGAATGTTGACTTTTATACAACCAAAACCCATCTGCTCAATCATATAGCAGTTATGAGACCCGTTTAAAATAGATAAAAATTTTCTATTTCGATAAAAAATTTGTCTGACATTAAAAAACGATCACAAGACCTACATAACTATGATCTGTCAATCTTTTACTGCTTTGATATAGTTTATTCAATCTTACTAGAAGTAGTTGAATTGTTCGAAGAAGAAGTCAATGGTACTGGTTGCAAAAGTGGAAATGGCGATGGTTCTTCTTTGAGATGGATAACATGTAAATCACCTTGATCAAGATAACCGATAACTTTGAATTGTGTTGCAGCAAGTAAAAGTACTTCATCTTCTGATGAAAAATACGAATGATTACGAATATCTCTGCCTGATTCACATTGAATTGTAAACATGGTTCGAGTACCTGTCTTACCCAAAAATTGTTCAGATTGTAAAACATTCAAAGCAGTAGTACATGATGAAAATCCCCACCATATTATTGTTTCTCCCATTCTGTATTCTTTGCTCAAGTCCATTTTGATACCTCTGTGTACAACTTCACGAATCACTGGTAGACGAAAAAGTCCACTGAGAAAAAGTCTCAAATAAAGAAACCATGGTTTGAGTTTTTCTCGATTGGCTGAACGTAATGTATCATTTAGAACAAAATAAAGACATTCGTCAAGTGGTTCCCATCCCATTGTATAGAGCATAATTGAGGCTGATTCATCTTGAGATAGTCCATCAGATGGTTTCTTACATTTCTGTTTGGCAATATAAGCATGACTCTGGATAGTAGGTAGTAGATCAACAAGTTTTTCAACAGCTTCTTCGAGTGAAACTAACGACATTTTCTCATATCCACAAATAGGTGAGAGAAAATCTAATGGTTCTTTAGCAATATCTGTAATGCGTAGATAACGTTGTGTAATAGCTTCTTCTCCTTTTTTTCCTTTTGTGGCCATGTTGAAGAATGAGAAATCGTAGTCGTTTAGTGCATGGTAAAATGCTGAAATAGAAAACAAATAATGAAATCTTAACATTTTTCTGTTCACTATGTGGTCACGCTACTAGAATTCAAGTAATAATACATAGCTTAATAGAAAAACTTCCATTTTTGTGTAAGCTAATATAAAATGTTATAAAGTTCATGAAGAAACTCTCTCAACTGATTATTCGCTTTTGAATCAGAACTGTACACATCATGTAGACCCTAATGAACTATGAATATCTTAAATACAGTTCAAGCCTTTACATTGTTACTGCGAAGACGCTGCAATTTCATGGTACTTTTGAAATGAATGCCGTTTTCCCTCTGAGGAATACAAAAAAAAATGATTTTCAAATTAATACTTAAAACTTTATATCGAGACCAGTCTTAACAAGAATAGTTTATTGTGAATGTTTCCTTTCTATGATACTTGTATCGACTTTGACTTAAAAGATATCGTACAAATACAGTATCTACGATGTCATAAGCTAACGGTAAGAAATCTTTTCAGATCGTACATAACTCATTTGATTCTAAATTATGCATATAGTCTCGACTCATCAGCGATTAATCAGTTGAAGACGTCTCTTATCACACTGAAACGTCGCATTTTTTGATCAACCGATTGTTTTGTCATTAGTTTTTTGTAAAACTATAACGAAAGAAATTATTGTTGAGTATAGAAGATTATTTACAAAATGTACTATGATTGACAACCTAAATATTACTAGATACTTCAACAATAACTAAACTAGAAAACTTCTTATTACAAAAATTAAAACTAAAAAAACAAGAACGATGTTATCCACATAAATGACCACTAATCTCATAATTATTATTGTTTTACTTCCAAGACAAACAAGAAACGAAAATATCATAGTCTTTAGGTGTAAAAAAAAAGAAAAAGTTGGCTGTTTCGTTACTTATCTGACTGTTTTTATTTCGTTTCTGTCCTGAAAAACGACACATGTGCAGATATTTATACATTCTTCATTGTAGTCATAGAAGCCGATCAACAAGTCAATAATAACATGCATATTAAATGATTACAATGAATGACAAATAAATTCTTTAAAATAGATTTTCACAAACAAAATATTCCTGTCAATCAAAATTACAAATCATAGACGAGATTTTTTTTAATCTTTTTCCATTATAAAAACATTTTACTGAAAAGAAAAATGCAAAATTTTGATCTTTCGATATAATAACAAACATAATAATCTTTGTACCAAATTGATACAAAAGAAAAGAAAAACAATATGAGAATATATTTAACTATGATATAATATATGTATTAAATTTAATCTAATTTTTATTTCTATAGTATAACATGAAGAAGTACAAATTTTTATCTAGTTTAATTTTAGAAAATGTCATGAATTAATCAACACAGTTACATGATCCTATTGGACATTCACAATTTTCACATTTACATCGTTCATTACCACATTTTTTTTCTACAACAAAACAAAGAAAATAATTAAATGAAGATTCATACAATAAAAAAAAACAAAACAAACTAACCCGAACGATTACATGGACAATTTGAATCACATGTACAACTATTTGTTTTAGTACAATCTTCCTTACATGAACATTTTCCAACTAAACAAATGAAATAATAAATAAATATATACTTAATAAAAAAAAAAATAAAAAAATATTATTTACTTTGACAAGTACACGGCATTCTATCTAATACAAAAATGTTGTAGTCTATTGATCGAGATAATATATGTGAAATATTTATCCATACATCTCTATATATGTGCTAAATTAAACAAAGAGATATCGATTGATAAAAAACGGGGGTGTTAACAAATGGAATAGAAACAAAAAAAAAACGGGGGTGCCGTAGAATAGAATGAAAATAAACGTAATGTCAGGAATGTCAATATTGACATGTATGATAAATAATAACATTTCACAGTTGTATATGTTAGAATAAATAAGTTTATCAGTATTTTTATCAATGTTAATATTTACGAACTAAGTTTCATTTTAAAAAAAAATATTCAGCATTTAATTCTCTAATTTTAGTATTATTGAAAAGTTAATGTTAAATCGTTCTTGAATTTGTTTTTTTGGAGCAAAAATTTAATATTTCGAATGAATGATTTTTCCTTTCGATTTAATTTCAACAATAGAGACTTGATATAGTAGATATAAAAACTTTTAATTCAAATATTACATTTATAGTCAATATTTTAGTTTATCATGTTTCTTTTCTATATGTCATGAAATAGAGTACGTTTGAATGTACGTAATATGATGCTTCATTTTATATTGCGTGCGTAAAAATTATTAATGTATTTATTTAATAAACTTTTTATGTTTGCTATTCTAAATATTTTTATCATCATTGTTTTGTTTTTAACACAAAAAAAAATTACGCGCATTCTCAAAAAGTCTTATTGATTGTAAATTTATGTTTTGTCAATGATACATTTGATTGATGTATCAAAATCAAATAAAAATTTATTAAAATCTCAATATATTAAATTAAATCATAGAAAAAAACATTCATATTATATCAATATTTTATATGTTCAATGAAAGAACTACTGTCTAGATATTCAACTAAATTTCGCATATTATATCTTGTAAATGAATTATAGATGTTTTTAATATATTACTCAACAAAAATATGATCTTATTTAGTTTCTCTTTAAGTGAAAATAACTGAACAGAACTTTCACTTCTATATAAGAAAAACTAAAAAGATTATGTCTCTAATCAACGAGTTGTTGTCTGTTTTTCTTTAATCTAAACATATCATATTAAGAAAATATGAATTCTATTTAAGAAACAATAAAATGTTTTATTTTAGAAATATTTGTTAAACAAAAAAATTAAAAATAGACATTTGATATTTAAGATTATTTGTCAGTAGCAGATATTGTTGATGAACATTTACATTCATCAGTTTTTTTTTCACAAGTCTTATCTAGATAATATTAAATTATAATAAAATATAGATTGCGTAGAAAAATTTACTACTTTATTTGTAATATTCATAAGTTGCATCACATGAACGTTGACCTATTTTAAGACACATCTTCTTTACATAGACATTTTCGAGCTAAAGAAAGTATAATACATAAAAAAATAAAATGCGAAAACCTCGGATTTAAATCCGAGTGTTATGTGTACTTCAAAAAAGTGAACAGGTATATTCACTTTGTTTTTTATCATCTGAGAGATATCTAGGCAATTTACTTTCTGGATGCAGTTTTTGTGCATTTTGAGACCTTTTTCAGGCTAGAAAGCTACGATTTCGTTCAAAACTAATATCAGATTCGGAATCAGCGTTAAAAACTGAGTCGATTTATACATGTTGTGAATAATTCTGAGAAAATTTTTTTTTTTTTTGAAAAAATCCCTGTACTCCCCCTCAGGGATGGTCTGATCAATAATGACAATTTTTTCGATAACTCAGCCATTTCTTGACAGATCCTTCTCATCTTCGAACTTGACCGAGACATTGATGAGACTAAACTGTGTAAAAAATTTCATCATGATCTGACTCTCCTTTCGAAAGTTATTGTGTTAACGGCAGGACGAACATACTGACCGATTCTAGAGTGTACTCACTTTTTGAGTACACAAAAACAGGAATATGAACATTCAATAGCTTAGATTCACAAGAACATGGCATTGTATTTTGTGTTTGCTCGGAAGAAAAAAATCTTAAACTATATATAGAACCCAGAAAAACTGTTCATTGATAAAGAACAAAAAAAAAAGAGGTGCCTATTTTGCTAATGACAAACAGAAGAGTGCTTTACTATTAATATCATGTTATAGGAACTTTGTTTATCTTTTCATACCTTATGAAATAAACAATTACTATAATGATCTATTTATATTCATAATGAACAAAAAAAACAAATTGCGTTGTTCCAAGTACATTTTTATCAAATAGTTTATTTTCTTTTGTGTTTAAAACCAAAAAACAAGAATAGAATGTAAATGTTTCCCATAATTATCAATGTTAACTAAGATAACCAACTAATATAACAATCGAAGATAGAAACAAAAAAAAAATGAATGAATAAATAACAATTCATGTTAAAAGTTATACAATCATAATAGAATTTATTCATTTGTATGTCGTTGATTACGTGGATTACTTGCTTGAACATAATGATAAGCAACGACTAGTAGAAATACAATTACACCAAGAATATTTGCACAAATACCCAATACCTAATAGTTACATTTATATATATATTAAAATTCTTCATTAAATTTTTTATCTTACTTGATCACTTTCACGAATCATTATGTGAAGAAATATGTTAGTTTTATTAAGTTATTCCTCTTTAAAAAAAAAAAACAAAAAGTAATGAAGAATTTTTTTCCTAGATTGAAAATGGTAAAAAAAAAAATCCTCGACTAAAGTATGAAAGTCGATAGCTTTTCATTTGATTATCAACAAACTAATAAAAAAAACCTAACGAATCATTGATATGACACGCTGACTATTGAATAAATTCAAAAAAATTAAATTTAAATTATTATTATTATAAATAGAAAAATAAAAAAAAAATTATAATAAAATTTAAAATATTAACAATATTTAAAAAAAATAAAACTGAGGTCGCCACAATCAAATTTTTATCATCGACGAAGAAACAAAAAAAGTAAATAAATATAAACAAATAAAAGACCCCCATCAATCACTTCATTGCCTTTTTAATAGTACATCAGTTGCTGTTGTTGTTTTATTAGTTAATATTCGATAATGCCTGAACAAACTCAAATTCCACGTATTCTTTGGGCACAACAACATGAACATATATTATTAACAATTGCTGTACCTGATATTGAAAAAGTTGATGTGAAATTTGAAGAAGATTCAGTTTCATTTCAAGGTCATTCAACATCATCTAATGGTAAAGATAAAGATATTTATGCTGTTAAAATAAATTTATATGAAAAAATTGATCCTGAAACAAGTAAATATGAAAATGTTGGTCAAAAATTTTGGCGTTTATTATTGAAAAAAAAAGATCCTAAAGCTTCATTTTGGCCACGTTTAACTAAAGATAAAACACGTTTTCATTGGTTACAAACGGATTTTGATCATTGGAAAGATGAAGATGAAAGTGATGATGAAAAACCTGGTCTTGGTGGTAATTTTCAAGATATGTTTTCTGGAGGTAAAAAAAAACAAAAATATTCTATTTGATTATTAATTAATTATTATTTAAGGTATGGGCGGTATGCCAGGCATGGATATGGGTGGCATGGGCGGTATGCCAGGGATGGGCATGGGCGGTATGCCAGGGATGGG